TCTCTCTCTCTCTCTCTCTCTCTCTCTCTCTCTCAGTCACTCACTACGATTGTGTCCGCATACCAGTGCGTCTATAATATTCAGTTCAATATATCAATATAAAAAAGTAACTCATAATCATTTATATATTAAAGTATACAAATTCTGTATATCGCAGGCCATAGACATGTATGAGAGTGTGGGCACAGGTATGCGGGAAGTGTCGTGAGTATGAAAACCCAATCCCTAATTATTGATAACAATTGAGTTAATAACACTTTAAGTGCCGAAGTTTACTGTAATTCAATGGTGTTTCGTGCGATTGCCGTAATTTTGATAACAATTACATAACAAATATATAATTGTGAAAAAAGAGCGAAAACAAAAATAAATGCATAAAAATCAACAAAACAATAAAAAAATAAATTCAACAAAAAATTTGTAGCAAAAAATTAGTGCTATATAAATGATGAGTGAAATATCATAACTTAAATGCAATTAAAAAATATACAAACAAATGCTTTTTTATACGGAAGAGTACTGTAGATGTGATAAACAATGTGATGATAATAGCAATAATTGCTATTATAATTTGTAGCCCTTTTTCACCACTATCTACAAGATATATATGATATAATCATAGCTAAAATCAGTCTATTTTTCTCATAAAATTATGTATAATCCTTTTTCCACGACTACTGTTCTCATAATTAAAGCATAAAATTGTTGAAACAAATTCTTGCGCTCAAGAAGTTTATCAGATATGGAAATAACTGGAGAGAGAGAGAGAGACAGAGAGAGAGAGAGAGAGAGAGATAGAGAGAGAGAGAGATTTACAAACAAAATATTCTGTGAGAGAATTGGAAAATACTTTAATATTATTCAACACAAAACAACAACAAAATATTCAACAACTCTTGGATTGAATACAAAATTCTATTTTTCAAAACAAAAAGAGTATTTTTTATACGACTTTTATTATACAAACTTTAATTATATAAAATAATTTGTTGTCTATTTTTTACTCAAAAACTACAAATTTCTTTCCTTTCCATACAATCTGTTGGTCTCTTTAGAGGCACTTTAATAACGAAAACAAAATCGTTTTATTTTTAACCTCAAAATATAGTCTATTTTTTCTTGAAGTCACTCTTCTCTACATCTCTTTCAAAATATTCTTTCAAATACTCTCTTTATTGCTGTAAAAAAGACTTTTCACTCTTTTTCCACAGCAATAGTGTGTTTAGAATTAGAAAATGTTTTCCAACACTCAATGCAATCCATTTTTGGTATCACTCCTCCATCCCTTACCTCTCTCTCTCTCTCTCTCTCTCTCTCTCTCCAGTTATCTTCCATATCTGATAAACTTCTTGAGCGCAAGAATTTGTTTCAACAATTTTATGCTTAATTATGAGATCAGTAGTCGTGGAAAAAGGATTTTACATAATTTTATGAGAAAAAAAGACTGATTTTAGCTATGATTATATCATAAATATCTTGTAAATAGTGGTGAAAAAGGGCTACAAATTATTATCGCAATTATTGCTATTATCATCACATTGTTTATCACATCTACAGTACTGTTCCGTATAAAAAAGCATTTGTTTGTATATTTTTTAATTGTATTTAAGTTATGATATTTCACTCATCATTTATAGCACTAATTTTTTGTTGAATTTATTTTTTTTATTATTTTGTTGATTTTTGTGCATTTATTTTTGTTTTCACTCTCTTTTTACAATTATATATTTGTTATATAATTGTTGTCAAAATTACGGCAATCGCACGAAACACCATTGAATTACAGTAAAATTCGGCTCCTAAAGTGTTATTAACTCAATTGTTATCAATAATTAGGGATTGGGTTTTCATACTCACGACACTTCCCGCATACCTGTGCCCACACTCTCATACATGTCTATGGCCTGCGATATACAGAATTTGTATACTTTAATGTATAAATGATTATGAGTTGCTTTTTTATATTGATTTATTGAACTGAATATTAGAGACGCACTGGTATGCGGACACAATCGTAGTGAGTGACTGAGAGAGAGAGAGAGAGAGAGAGAGAGAGAGAGAGAGAGAGA